CCCCCGGGCTGGCAGGCGCACCCGCCCTATAGCAAAAACCTATCCAGAAAAAAAAAAAGAGGAACCCAAATGTGAATCACATCAGGTTCTGACCAGCTGATTCGAGATGTGAATTAATGCAGAGTCTCCTCCACAGCCAGCCCGCAGGTCTATAAGCCCTGTGATATTTTTAAGGCTTGTGACATCTTTACAAACTCAAATTTTCTCCGAGGTCTCCAACAGCCTGGCCAGAGGTGATGGTCAATACCATGAGCACCACCCATACTACCCCAGACAGCGGCCATGCCAGGCTCTTGCTGCCTTCTGTGGGACATGCGTAAACAGAGAACACTGTGACAAGTGACAATAGTAGGCGCTAGCACCCATGTGCCACACATCTAATGTGGAATGTTGCCAATCCTCAGAACAACTCTGCATCCACTTACAGTTACGGAAGTCATGATTTCGTAAGCCAGTGCCGCCCGCATACACAGTGTCATCTGCCCTTTTCACGTGATTGAATATCACATGAAGCCTGGAGGTTCATGGCTACCGGGTGGCAGGGCCGAGACTGGAGACCCAAGACTACCTCACTGCAAAGCGCCTGCTTTCCGCTGCAGATGGCAGTGGCTAAACACTGCACACCTCCGTTTCTTCACCTGCAAAATTGTGCGGTATTCTGTCTCAGCCTGGAGGTGAGATTTAGGGACGAGGACTTCCTGAGTGCATTTGGGAGAAACACTGAACCAAAGGAAAGATTTCCCCTTAACTCTCAGGATAGACCTCGAGCAAGATGAGGAATGAGCTCAGAGAAGGAGTATTGGGTGAGAATAGGGTTCCCACAGTGACTCCGCCCCGCTGTTGTTTATGGCTCCCCCACCAAATTCAGGCATTGAGATGTGGTGTTTTGGGTTCTTGGCATAGAAAGGTAAGGCCTTGGGAGTGATGAAGTGACTATGGTGTGGCCCTTGTGGTTGAGTTCTGCTGGGTCCGTAAGGAGAAGGAAGGAGACTAGAACAGGAGGACTCATGGACAGCCACTCCACTCTGCTCTGCCCCTGCGATGTGATCGGGACCCTGCAAGATGCCCACCCATATGGCTTCTGACCTTGGGCTCTATTTCTATCAATCACTCAGTAGCGAACTAAGACAGCCTCTTTCTCCCCTGTGGCATCAGCCAAGTCACTCCCCGCCCTCCAGACACTGGAAACCAGAGACAAGAGCCCCACAGAGCAGCGTCTCCTGTGAGCACAGCACGGCACAGCAGGCCTCCTCCAGGCCCAGAACGGCCAGCTCCAACGATAAGACCTGAGCACCCTCTGAAAGCCTCCAGGCCTAGCATACAGTTCCCGTTAGCCAGCTGAGAAGACAGTGGGATGTTGAGAATCGACATTTGGACCTTCACCCTATTCCTCATGAGGCTGTGCCTTCAGCTCCTTAACCTGCACTGGTCACGTCACCAGCAGAGCAGGAAGTGTGGCCAAGTCTGCCCCACACCATGGGCAAGAAAAGTCAGCTAAAGTACGTGAAGAACTATATGAATCTGGACTCCCAGCTCCTGTCATTCTTGGTGTCCTTAATAAAATATGACCCCTTGGTAGCTATGGAAATGAAGTTTGTTAGCAAAAATACTGGCCTGAGCATCCACCTAAAACACAAATTGACTCGTGTTTGCAAGGGTTTTCTTCAGTGGCTGTCCAAAGGCACTGTGCCCAACTTGACTTTCTGCAAAGGATTCTGAAATGTTTCCTTCCCTTCCATCCTTAAGTCTAGAACATCACCCTGAGCATCCTTGTGGGTGAAGGACAATGTGTTTTCCCTCTGGCATATTTTATTGCCCTCCAAAGAGCAGCATGTCTGTTGCATTTATGGGGCCTGTTGTGACGCTGTAGTCCCAGGTGCACCCTGACTTAGAGCCACCAGGACCAGGGCCAAAACGAACCCAAGCCAGGTGGACAGAGAGACAAGGAGTGGCAGGCAGTTTCCTTCTGCTCCAGGGCCTGTGTCTCGACCCAACCAGGCCAAGCTTGTATTCACAGAGACACACAGCAGGGCAACCAGCCGAACTGGGGCCTGGCAATCCCACCAGAGTAACCGAGCCATCCTCCACAGGGCCAGCTGCCTCTGAGGGGTATTGATTTGCTGCCAGCTTTCTAATATAGGCCCCATCTGACAGGGTCAATTTACAAACAAAAAGGCTTTTGGCAGAACCCGGAGAGTCGGTCTTCCTATTTCCTCAAGAATCAGTGAAACACAGTAAGAAAGGGGTCCCAGGACCCTGATTGCTCTCACAGCACAGGAACAGCTCTCAGTCTTCAGACCAGATGAGGTGATCGATTCTGACACTAGGAGCTTTGGGATCTTCAGTTGTAGCCTTCGTACTCCTGGAGACCCAAGGAAATAAAGATAAAAGTGACCTGGACATTCTGGAACATTCTCCTGCCATCCACTTACCTTCCCCACAAGCTTCTCAGACAGGCTCTTGAACTGGCCATCTTCCTGGTCCACCTCGCTGGGATGTGGCTAAAAGGATTAGCACAGTTGCAAAGTTCAAACTGGAATCATTGGGGGTAATGAAAAGTTCCTGGCAACCCCACAGCGCAGTGGTTAAGGGAGCCAGTCCCACATGGCTGACTGTCCAATCCTGGCCCCAGTGGCTTGAAAAACGCAGCAGGTGAGTGTGCATGGGTGCCCAAAATTCTGACAAAAGGTAAGAATAGAGAAGGGATTATAGATGTGACCACACCTAATTAGGGGGTTCTCTCTCTCACTGTCTCTTTGTCTTTGTGTTTCTTTCTCTCTCTCTCTCTGGCAAGCGCAACCACTCTGGCAATAAAGTTTTTTAAAAATTCATTTATTCATCCTTTAGTATTTGTTGGGCACCTATCATTGCCAAGCTTAGGCTAAGGGGTGTGTGTGTGTGTGTGTGTGTGTGTGTGTGTGTGTGTGTGTTGGGGGGGTGCAGTTAACATAAGGTGATAAACAAAAGAGACATTATCCTGGGTCCTGGCCCTGGGGAGCTCAGGGCCCAGCAGGGATGCAGCCCTGGGACCCAGGCAGTCCTCTCTGAGTAATGTAGAAAATAATGACCCACCAACGCTGAATTTCAGACTTCAACCCCGAATCGCTTTTAGAGAATGATAAATGCTCTGTCATCAGGGAATCGTGGTTGCAATCTGTGGACTCACAAGGAAATCCCCAGTGACCTTCAGGGGGCCTATGAACTCCGGAAATTGCATGAAAATGTGGGGTCATGGTTATAAGCATTTTCTCAGCTTTCAGCAGATTCTCAAAGAGTATCACAATTAAAACAAAATTAGGAACACAGCCCTGTGGAAATGGCAAAACTAGAAGCCAGGAGAGCGGAGTTCACCCGCAGGCTGACCACTTCCTGGGTACCATCTCCAGGCGCTAAATATCCATTTCCTCAACTCCAATGTTAAATGAACTAAGCCAACAGGGATCATCTTGAGACTCAGATGAGAGCTAGTGTGTCAATGTTCTTTGGAAATTATAAATCATTATGTGAATGCCTCTGAAGAGACTTTCTGAGATGTCAATGGGCCCTATCCGAAATAGAATGGCCCCCAACTGTCACCACCAGACAGAATGGGGAAGTCCCAGGACTCCCAGACGGCCCTAAGAGTCTCCAGAATGCCAGGTCAGTTTCTTCCAGAACTGTTACTAATAGAGTCTAAAAGGTTCAATATGGCCTGATAATACTGTACTAGTAAGAGTAATGACGTAGGCACAGCCAGGTGGTAATTGAGGGCACAGTGAAGGAAGGAGGGGGTTAGGCAGACAAACGCACACCTCAAACCCTGGGCATTTCCTCCTCCAAACTGCTTGGAATTGCTCCTCCATGGAGCCGTCCCAGACTAGCCGCTCACCCCAGCTCCTCCAGGACTACACACCACAGGTTTAGATCCATTTCTGGCACACATTCTCCTTCATCTTTTCCCTAGGCCTTCACCATTTGTTCTCTGAAAGACTGGCGGTCCATCCGAGAGCAGGATGCAGGTCTGTTTCCCCCACTGACTCTCTCTCCTGCACAGAGCAGCCCAGGCATAGTGAGTGCTCTGTCTGTGGGTCCTGCTGATTTAATGAGGGAGATGCAAAGGCCGCCCCCACCCAGGGGTAGGGATGCATTCCAAAGTCCACATTCCAATATTCCTCCCATCTCTTCATCTGGAAGAGAAGAGGCCTAGGCAATGTTGTGGCCTGATGAATAATAAGTTATTATTGCTAATATATAAAGAACTCTGACGAATCAGTAAGAAACTCCAAATAACTATTATAAAATCGTGTCAGAACTTAGCAAACTAAAGATTGCATACCTCATGTGAGTTTCCGGCTACAGCACCCCCAATTTCCCTGAAATACAAAGAAAGAAACAAACCAAACATGAACAGGACATGGTAGTTAAGGTGCTGGATCCCACATGGCTGACTCTGAGGTTTGAGTCACAGACCCGGCGGCTTGAAAAACACACCAGACGCATGCGTATGTGTGCCCAAAATCCTGAGAGGAGAACAGAAGAGAAGGGATTTCCATGTGGTCCTCCCTCCTGGGCAGTGATTTCTCACTTTTCCTTTGTTTCTGTCTCTCACTGGCAAGTGCATGCACCCTATGACAAAAATCTGCACCCTGTGGCAAAAATCTTAATTTAAAAAAAAAAAAAAAGAGAGAGAGAGAGAGAGAATAGCTAATAGCTAGGTTCTTTCAGAAGGTTTTTTACTCCTCCGAGGAACTGGTTTCCCACCCAAGACCTTCAGTTCCTACTAAACACTGCATAAACTGAATCCTTAACCAGGATTCCTCCCCTTCAACTCCCCAACTCCCACCTCACCCTGAGTTTTTCGTCAGAGACAAGAGCTTCCAAGTTCAGCAGTCTTTTTGTGAATTCTAGAATGTTTACCATGGTGGACGCTTTTGGGAGGTTCTTTCCTCACCTCATCCAGTTATCAGTCTTTTCCTCCTCGGGACCTCAATACATGAATTTCTGCTTAAATGGCCTCTGGAGAATAAGCCAGCAAGCCTAGCCTGCGCATGTGTGCATGTACATGGTGTGTGTTCTGTGTGCATCTGTGTGATAGGTGGCATGTGCGGTGTGTGTGTGGTGCCTGGAGGATTATGTACTCAATGTGGTGTATGTGATATGTAAGTGTGTGATGCATGTATGTGATATACGGTATATGTGATATGTATGTGGTATGTGGGGTATATATGTGGTATGTGTGTGTGGTATATGTGGTATATATGTGATCTGTGTGAGTGGTGTGTGTATGTAGTTGTGTATATGTGATGTGTATGCACAGCAGGTAGATGTGTACTATTCTGGTATGTGGTGTATACATGTGGCATATGTGTGCTATGTGTGTAGAGTGTGTGTGTTTTATGTGTACTATGTGGCGTGTGTGGTATGTGCCTGTGTGTGGTAAGTATGTGGTGTGTGTGTATGCAGTGGCCATTTCTATGGTTGTGTAAGTGTGGAATGTGTACTCAGTGTGTGTGGTATCTGTGTAGTGTGTGTGTGCGTGTGTGTGGTGTGCATATGGTGTGAGGTTGTATATGTGTGCTGTGTGCATATTGTGCGTGCTCAGTGTGTGTGGTACATGCATAGTGTGTGTACAGATGCAGATTGTGAGTGTGGTGTGTATGTGATGTGTGGTTGTATATGTGTGCTGTGTGCATGGTATGTGTGCTCAGTGTGTGTGGTAACTGCACAGTGTGTGTGCACGTGTGTGTGGTGTGCATATGTGTGTGGTTGCATACATGTGGTGTGTATAGGGGGTGCACATGTGTGAGGTGTAGGAGGTGGTGCTCTCACCTAGCTCCCACGCCCTGACCTCACACTCTCTAGTCCAGTGGGAACCTCTCTGCCCAGGCTGCTACCATGGCCCTTTCTCTCCAGCCTCAACTCTTTCTCTTCTTTTTTTTTTTTTTTCAGAGGTTTTTACTATAGGGCGTGTGCGCTCGCCAGACAGACAGAGAGAGACAGAGATATAGAAAGCGAGAAATCACCCCCCAGAGGGGATGGCCACGCCGCAATCCCTTCTCCTCTATTCTCCTCTCGGGATCTTGGGCATGCACACACACGCGCCTGGGGTGGGTTTTAAGCCACCAGGTCCGGGACGTGAACCACAGTCGACTACGTGGGAGTCCAGCGACATAGCCATTACGCTAACTGCTGGTCCCAACTCTTTCTCTTCTTTTAAGAAAACTCTCCCAGTTCTATAGAGAAGTGGAAGAGACAGGAGGGATCTCCGAGGGAAGGATTTTAGGGACCTGCAATGTCTTTCAGATTTCCTCTAAGGAACACCCGTTGGGTGGGTTACACAGTGACAGGACCCCCACCTACGTCTGAACATTTCCCCGGCCGATCCCCCCACATATCCCTGACCACGGAGGGAAAGGTGACGCACAGGGCCTTGGCCTTCTTCTCTGAGAACACCCTCAAGCAGAACTCGCCATCTTTGAAGGGTTCAAAGGTGGACGGCACCACGAGGTATTCCCCTGGGGACAGCCGGGCCCGGCCGCAGACCTCACGCAGGTTGACGTAGGTGCTAGAGCGCGCGGAGGGCTGGAGGCCCAGGAAGAAGTCTGGGCCCAGGTGTGTGTCCGTGTGACTCTCCAGCTGTGCGAAACAATAGTCAGTATCAATTTCTCCTTAGACCCAGAGATGAAAGCCCAAGAGTTGGTTTGATGGTACTGATTTAGGGATCACTGGTTTTAGCTCCACTGAGAATCTGGAGGCCTTGTCTTCTGAGTGAACTCACTGTGTGTCAGTCAGACTATCCGAAGTACCTTTTTGAAGTACCAACCTTGACTATGACCTTGACCAGAACCCTTGTCCTCTGAGCCTCCCAGTTAAAGGGAGGTTTGAGCAGCAGGGTCTCTACTGTGTGCTCAGACTCTCTCTGGATATCTTTTCTCATGAATCCAGCACTCTTATTCTGCAGCTGCCCCTGGGGGTATTGACATCCAAGTACAGGCCTGTGGCTAGAGAAATGAGCATAAGTCCTGGTCATTGATCAGAAGCTGCCCCAGGACCCTGCTCACTTTGTCCACCTGGGAAAACTGCTCCACAAGGTGACCAGGGTGGGGAGGCTAGGAGCCCAAGGAAGCAGCTCTGCAGGAGGCAGACAGGGGGCAGCCACAGCCAGGCCTATTTGGGGTCCCTCCTGGCCTCCCCAGGGTCTTGGCTCTTCTGCAAGAGGGAAAGAAGCTCCCAGGACCCACCTGTTTGTTGGGGGAAGAGGGAGGTGGCTGGCTAATTAGTGACTGCAGAGTGCTTTGAAAACACAGGTGCCATTATTATTATTATTATAATCAAGCATAGAATCGGTCTTCATCAAGATGCCTGTGACAGAGGGCAGGGGCTGACAAGCTATAAGGGCTGTGACTTCTGTGTGACATGGAGCTGGAATGCCCACACTAGGGTGGACAGTGTCCATGTACAGTCACCAGACTCCCTTAGGGTCACAGGTGGCTAAATTGGGGTGGGGAGGGCAAGACCACCTTCCCCCATGCCCTGACCAGGAATCCATGGACGTCTCCCAGGAAGCTCTCACTGGCCTGCCCAGCACCCTGACCTGGCTACAAGGATAGCCACAGTCCTTGGCATTCCCCCTGAAAATGTTTCCTTTCTGAGCAGGAGAATGCTGGGGGCATGGCCAGCAAAGCTGTGGCCAAAGTCTAAGCATCAAGGAGTTAAATATCATTCTTGCCATCTCTTGTAGCAAGGGGAGGAGACAGGGCACCAGCAGGAGAAAGTACTTGGTAGAGTTGAAGTTGAGAGGCAAACTCTAATTTGGGTTGGGTTGGAAAAGGGGCAAACAGGACCAGCAAGAATCTAGGGGTGGGAAGATTAGAGAACCCCTGTTTGGGGGACTAGAGCAAGAACTGCAGAACTGAGGCAAGAGCTGGGTCCCCTCTGTCCTACCAGGGACCACAAATAAGCAGGTGCCACAAAGTCCTTCACCTCCACATCTTCCTTTGGCATGGTTCAGCTGGGAGTGACAGGACAGGATTGAGCAGATTTGCTGAGGGTGGTTCTCAAAGTGTGGACCCAGGGTCAGCATGACCATGCCCAGGAAAATTCATTAGAAATGCAAGTTTTCAGGCCCCACCCTAGACCTACAGAATCAGAAACTCTAGGACAAGGCTGGCACTCAGTAATCTGTGCTTTAACAAGCCCATTGGGATTCTGAGGTAAGTCCAAGTTTGGCAACCATTGATCTGAAGACCCACCAGTGCTCGGAAAGCACAGGATTCATGGGGACACACTGAGGGCATTGTGCAGTGCTGTTGGGGCGAGTTCCACTAAGCATGCTTATGACACCCCCACTCACATAAATGGGACATTTCCAATGGAAATGTCTCACTTAACTCAGATTTAGTTTTAATGATTTTCTAGCAGAGAAGAGGTGTTAGCTCTAAATCATCCATACTCACTTGTCCATTCCCTCCATAATCAGTAACATGCATCTGTGAGCAAGGACAGGGTAGACCAGTAGTCTGCAGCCTTGGAGCAAGTTATGAGCCAAAGCTTGTGAGTTTGGGTATTGATGGTCCAAAATAGGGTTGTCAAAAAAGTCATGACACACTTTTACATAGAAAAATACATCATGACTTTTCCACTGACCCAATATATAGCTGGCTGAGCTTGAGAAAATGGGAGAGTTGGGGTGAGGCGGCAGCAGAGCAGATACATGTGATGAGTGCAATGGACTCCAGACATCACAGTGGCTCTCCGCCTTGGCTGCATGTTGAAATCAGTTTCTAAATGTACAGTGCCTGGTCCCCCCATCCCAGAGATTCTGATGTAATTGATAAAATAGAGCAGCTTCCCTCAGGGGCTGGACAGTGGTGCAGTGGTAACACGTGATACCCTGCAAGGCTGACCTACTCAGGAAGGTTTCAGGTTCATGTCCTGAGGCCTCCAGGTACACGCCAAGCACATGCTTATGCCCAGGATTCAGGGCTGGCTGAGGCTGAAGATAAATTATGGTATGAAGACCCTGTTGAGGGTTCTGTCCCTCTCTCCCTCATTCATTCATTCTCTCTGTTGCTCTCATTTGTGAAAGAAATAAATGAACTTTAAAAAAAGAAAAATGGGTCCAGCAGATGGCATAATGGTTACATCACTGGACTCCCATGTAGTCGACCACAGCTCAAGTCCTGGACCCAGCAGCTTAAAGCCCATGTCAGCAAGATCAACAGTTGGTGTAACGGTTATGTCACTGGACTCCCATGTAGTCGATCATGGTTCGAGTCCTGGACTCAGTGGCTTAAACTCACGTTGGGCACTTGTGCGTGCATGCCCAAGATCCCGAGAGGAGAATGGAGGAGAAGGGATTGCAGCGTGGCCATCCTCCCTGAGGGGTGATTTCTCACTTTCTGTCTCTCTGTCTCTCTCTGTCTTTCTGGCGAGTGCACACACACTATAGCAAAAACTTCTCAAATGAACAAACAAAAACAAACCATGTCAGCACCTGCGCATGCGTGCCCAAGATCCTGAGAAGAGAATGGAGGAGAAGGGTTGTGGAATGTCCATCCCCCCCGCAAGGGGGTGATTTCTTGCTTTCTTATCTCTCTTTGTCTCTCTGATGAGTGCATGCATGCATCTTATAGCAAAAATCTATCAAAAGAAAAAGAACAACAACTCCCTGAATTACAGCTAAGAAGGTCATGCGGCCAGTACATATTGGACCTGATGCTGCACTGGCTGGGTCCAAGGATGCGCTCTCACAGAGAGCCTGCCAGTCCCTCCCAAGAGTGCTTCCCAGGCTCCACCCTTCAACCAGCTGAGGTGGATGGTACTGCTGGGTAAAGCCTGCGATGGTAGCAGGAAACTCCATATCAAGTATGATGATGGCAATATGACTGTAAACTACTGAGGAGGCAAGAAAAAGCCAGGAGCCAAAAGGTAAAGGCTGGTGCCTCTTTTTCTTACCAGAGATTAAGGCATTTACTTCTGCTGGCCAGGTAAATGGGAACCTAGCTGGGCTGTGGTCATTTGGAGCAGACCACCACACCCATGGGGGCAAGGATCACCACTGTTCCTTCCAGGGGACCTGACAAGTGGGACTTGGGGTTGTCTTTACCAGCTCATGAGATCATCGGAGAGTCCACAGGAAACCGGCGTCTGTCCCAGAAACCAGGTGCCACTTCCTACCTAAGGAGGAACCTTGCTGTCTGCACCACTTACCTCCTTGGGAACCTACAGGGCAGAAGAAAAGAGCAAGTCAGCTGAGAATGCAAGGGCCTCCCGTTGCACGTTCACACCGCCAACCTCACCTTTTGAGACAGACCGTGCAATCCTGGGCCCCGAGGGAGGAGGCTGGTGCTAAAGTGTGGCACTAGTCAGATTCGGAATCTGGAAAGTCACTGCTGAATCCACTGTGCCCTAGAAATCTGGGTAGTGGAGGAGGTTCTCCTTTTTACTTTTATTTCCCAGCTGTATCATTTCCCAGAATCCTAAATTCCTCAGGAGTAAGAACCTTGGGATATACATGAGCACTGACTTCTTACACACCTGCAGGCCTGGCCTCTCAGATCCTGGGCTTGGCCGCAGCAGTGGACCTCACTCAACTCAAGCCATAGTTTATCATGCCCCTGCCTACAGCCAGTGGCCCACATATAGCACATAGCCCAAGCAGAGTCTGCTGCAATTTCTCTAGGATTTTTGAGTGACTATCAAGAGAAAGGGCCTTGTCCTTTATGCTGGTAATATTTAGAAATGAAGAAACTATTCAGTTGTTGAAAAAGTCATGATGCATTTTTGCACAGAAAAAAAAACGTATCAAGACTTTTCCAATGACCCAATAGGCTGAGGGAATGACATTGACACTAGATGGGGGTGTGGACAGAGGCCCTGACATCCGAGTCCCTTGCCCAAAGCACCCCTTTTATCTTCCCTTGGCTCGGTCGTTTGAGCTGGTAACTTCTTTTTTCTTTTTTTTTCTTTTTTTTTTTTTTTTTTTGGAGAGATTTTTCACTGTAGGGCGCGTGCGCTCGCCAGACAGACAGAGAGAGACATAGAGACAGAAAGCGAGAAATCACCCCTCAGGGGGGATGGTCACGCCGCAATCCCTTCTCCTCCATTCTCCTCTCGGGATCCTGGGCACGCACGCACACGCGCCCGGCGTGAGTTTTAAGCCACCGGGTCCGGGACACGAACCGCGGTCAACTACGTGGGAGACCAGCGACATAGCCATTACGCTAACTGCTGGTTCCCAACTTCTTTTTTCTTTAGCTTAGCTGGAGTTGGGTTCTATTATTTGCAACTGGAAATATGACCCCCGCAAGAGACCAGCTCTCAGATACAGGTGGGAGCTCTCATGCCCAGGGCTCCTGTGGTAGGCTGAAGAAGGGGATTCAAATCCCCACTCTGTCCTTGGCCCTTCTTTTTGTCCCAGCTGCATATGCTCTTCCAACCAGAAGAGCAGGACAGTCACTGCTTATGGCTTAGGCCTAGAGGCAACTGCTCACACCTCTGAGAACTAAAAGGGTTAAGGAAGTTTGGGGTCAACTGGCACCCTTGCTTCTAAAGCTCATTTGTCATGGATGCCAGCAGAGGTAAAGCAGTCCAAGTCACTGTCAGTCCTCTAACTTTGAGTTTAAAACTAAAATCACCCATGTGGTGTCCCTGACTATGTAGGTGAAGAGAGGCCTCTGCTCCTGGACTAAAAGCCTTTGCCCACCCTCAGCAGGATGCTCCTAACTATGCTGGCTCTCTTTCCGTGAACCGCTTGATCACTGCGGCTGCCATCAGTATGCCCTGACTCCACCCCGTGAAGAGTCACCTAGGGCAGGCACTGAGCCAGCGGCTGGGGCCTCTCAATGGCACACAACCAGAGCAGTGAGGCAGGGGAGCAGGCCTTAGTGACTCCACTGATGGGTGGAAAGGGACAATCATCTTCAAAATAAAGGACCGTGGATGTAAATGACAGATGCTCTGGCAGGAGACTGTGGTCACTGAAGGAAGATACGAGGACAAGAGAAAAGGCTAGGCAAGGAGGGCTCTTTAAGGCCAAAGGGGGAAAGCATAGAGGAAAGAAGATAGTACCCCACAACCCCTCACAGCCCATTTCTACAAACCCAGCTACTCCCTACAGCACCAGGTACCCTTAAACCCTGCACACCTCTTTCCACAATCCCAGCTACTCTCTGTAACTTCTCAATTTAACTGTCTGATACTGGAGCCTGGTTTCAGGTTGAAAATCTATACCCTTTCTCCTTATAAACCCAGTTACTCCTTACAACATCAGGTACCCCCTCAGCCTGCCTTTAAAACTGCTTTTGGGAGCCAGCAGGTAGTATACTGGCTAAAGCACTGGACTTCCACATGGTTGACCATGGTTCAAGTCCAGACCCAGCAACTTAAAAGTCACACTGGATGTGTGTGCATGTGTGCCCAAAATCCCAAGAGGAGAATGTAAGAGAAGGGATTGTGGCGTGGTCATCCCCCTGGGGGGGGGGGGGGGGGTTTCTCCCGT